CGGTTGTTAATCATGATATCAGTAAATGTTGAGAATGCAGTCTTTTGCACGGTTGTTAATCATGATATCAGTAAATGTTGAGAATGTAGTATTTTGCCTAGTTGTGAATCATGATATCAGTAAATGCTGATAATGCAATCTCTTACCTGATTGTTAATGATATTGGAAAATGTTTTGAATGCAATTTTTTACCTGGTTGTTAATATGGATATTGGTAAATGTTGAGAAAGCAATCTCTTACCTGATTGGTAATAATAATCTTGATAAATGGTAAGATGCGGTCTCATACTTGATTGTTAATAATGATATTGGTAAATGTTAAGAATGCAGTCTTTTACCTAGTTCCCAATAATGACAAGTACAATGAAAAATTATATGAAGACAAATACGGATCTATATATATGTAACCTAGCTAGCTATAGTAATATAGAAAGTTTTGATGCTACAAAAAGTATTAAAATAAGAAAGTCAAACCTACAAAACTGAATTACTTAAAATTGAAAAACGTTTACCCTACTTTGGCAAATCACTGAAATTATGTTAGTCTGAGTCAAAGTAGATATAATTTTTTAAACTTTAAGTAACTCAGGTTTTATAGGTACTTCCATTAACAAGATTAGCTATTCCCGTTCAATGCTGCCCTCTATATGCAAACTTTTTCTTTATGCATGCCACAAGCCTTCCACTCCCCCTCTATTGGAATTGCAAGATTCCAACATGTCTCTCATGCAAATCATCATGCATCACCTCCTCACCAATAGGAACATGACATGCCCACATGATGCATGTGGCTTCCTCTACAGAACTAACTTTTCTCATTTGGAAGCATTTGTGTTCAAAAGTGCTCTTTTGTTTGTTTAATGCTTCATGTTTGTCTTTGTTCCCTCATGAAGGGCCTGGCATGGCCAGGTGGTTAGCGCGCGAAACTCGCAATCTGCAGGTTGCGGATTCGACTCCCTGTTACACCAAACATGCTCACCCTTTCAGCCATGGAGGCATTATAATGTGATGGTCAATCCCACTATTCATTGGTTAAAGAATAGCCTAAGAGTTTGTGGTGGGTGATGATAACTAGCTGCTTTCCCTCTAGTCTTACACTGCTAAATTAGGGATGGCTAGCACAGATAGCCCCTGTGTAGCTTTGCGCAAAATCCATAACAAACAAACAAAATTCTCATGAAGTGGTTGTTTTTAAATTAAGTTGATTTCATTCAGCCTGTTTCTTTGATCAGTATTTATCAGTTAATTCTAGTTGGCTTATTTTCTGCACTTTCTCTCCAATGAGTTCCGAAGTTAACGTTACCACTTTGGGAGTTACACCAGCGACCAGTTTTTGTTTATCAGGCCTCAGGTGTGGGTGACCCAATGGTAGATTTATCTGCTTTTATATGCTGGGAGATCGAATGTTACATGGGACAACCTTTGTACCCGGACGTCACCCAGGCTCCTCCAGGACAGGCTGACCCTGTGCAGGCTGATGAGGACTTCTATCATCTTTTGCAACCTCCAGATTTTGCCGTTCCTTCCTATTCCTAATCTGATGAGTCCACTAGGCCTAATGTGGTCTTTATGGATTTTGTTTCTCAGGTTTGTGATGCTTAATCCCTTTCCCCTATTTTTTTATGCACATCGTCCTTCTTTATTTCATGAACAATCTTCCCAACCCTTTTTGGTTTTCCTCCTTTACCTGATATTTAGGTTCATGCTGATCACTTTGCCTCTCAATTAAGCGAGGGGATTAGCATGCTGTGCCTCCCATTCCTACTATTGTGCTGACTATCCATTTTTAGACCAGCAGCTGTTAGATTCCTTATTGTCTATTTGGGGTGGCTCCTGATTCATCTGCCATTCTTAGCCATGCCCAATTTTACAGTATATTTTTTCCATATACCTCCTATCTGAGGCTCTCCATAGAAACCTTAGGGGGGTTTTCTGGAGATACTATTGCCCTTCTCTCTTCCACTTTAGCCAGCTTGTCATCTTTGGCTCTGGCTTTACATATGTTGTTTTGTTGTTGAGGCCTTATAGGTCATGATGCTGTATTGGTTTGGGTCCATTTACCCTTGACATATCTTAGGGATTTATGTATGGCCACATTTCTGAGGTGTTACGTTTTTGATATGGTCGTGAAAACTATTGAGCTTCTGGTGACTTTGGTCCAACAACAATCCACCCTTAAAAATATTGTCGCCATTTGTCTCAGGTTTTATAGGTACTTCCATTCACAGTTTTTGTTAATCAATCTGGTCATTGTCAGTGGTTATGGTCCATTGGGATGCATTTTTCATCCTTCCCCTTCCCAACTCTTACCCATCCCTTCTATTTGGGGTACATCTTCTCGTCACCTTCCTCAACAACGCAACTCCTGTCACCACCAGTAATGGGGACTACCCAGTTGGTTCTACAGTGGGAGCTTGGCTCTACGAGTTTCTTCATCCCTAGCATTTTTGCATTGGCAAGCAATAGTTGCTTCAGGTTCTGTCAGAAAGATTCTTTGTCTTGTGACCAGCCAGCATCTGTCAGAAGCAGTTCAAGGAATTGCTCTTGCAGCAGGCCATCGAACCTTTTCCCCATCCTTCCAAGGGTATTTAGTCCTGCCTTTTCTTTTTCCCCAGATATCCAGAAATTGGTGGCTGGTGATCGATTTATCATGCCTCAACTGCTTTGTTTTTTACCGTGGTTCACCATGGAGTCTTTTCTCACCCTGAGATGGGTGTTTTTCTACAGGGTTGTGGATGACCAAAATGGACGTCTGCAATGCTTACCTGCATATACCCATGTCATCTCAGTCTCATCCTTATCTTCGGTGTGTCCATCTTGGGATGGTTTATCAAATTTGGACTTTCCTCAGCATCTTCCGTATCTTGCCAAGTAGTCCAAGTTTTTGCTCGACATCTCCAGACTCTAGAGCTGTGATTTCATTATTACATGGAAGACTGGCTTCTTCTGGCTCATTCTGAACAGGAATCAGCTAATCATACCCAGCAGCTCCTTTCTGTGATGGCTCGGGTGGGCTGGTTGATCAAACTCGAGAATTCCTAACTCAGACCCACTCAATATCTTGTCCATTTGGGGGTCTTTTTCAACACTCATATCAATCGGGCCCAGCCTTCTCCTTTATGACTTCGTTCAATAGAACTGTTGGTTTGCTATGCCCTCTCGGCTCAGCCACTTACTCCTCTTGAGGTTCTGTCATTTTTGTGGATGTGTTCTTCCATGATATCACCGATCCCCTTTGGTTGAGTGAGATCCCTTCAGTGGGTGCTTCATGACTGATGGAACCTTTCTCGGGATCCTCTTTCCACTCCCATTACCCTTCTTGTTTCCCTGTGAGATGATCTGTTTTGATGGTTGGACAAAGCCCATACGTTGGCAGGTATCACCAGGTGGCTTCAGGCCATTGATCTGTGGACGAAAGTGCTTTGCATATCAATGTTCTCAAACGTCTAGCTATGTTGGGCATTGTATCACTTTCTTCTTCTCCCCTTACATTGTCTGGTGATGGTTCATTCAGACAATTCCATGGTGGTGGCATATATCAACCACCAAAAGGGCACCCCATCTAGAGATCTCTGTTTTGGACTTGGATATTTTATACTGGGCCCACACACACACACCTCACATTCATTTCATTGTGTATCATGTGCCATGTGCTTTCAATCTGGTCACAGATCATCTTTCACACCCTGACTGGATATATCCCACAGAGTGATCATTATATCCCCTCGTTTTCAGGGATCTTTGCTACTGCTGGGGTTCTCCCCATGTGGATGCCTTTCAAACAGGCCTAAACAACATGTTACCTCTCTTTTAGTCGCCTATACCTCATCCACAGGCTCTGGCAGTCGATACCTTCAGCCAGGATTGGTCATACCCATCTGATTACTTCATCAGGTGGTTTCTCTCATCCACTCCACTCCTTGTCAGGTCCTCATGATTGCTCCTTATTGGCCAGCTTAGCCTTGGTTTCCATGGTTACAGTGACAGCTCCTCTCCTCTCCCCTCCTGTTCCTCTTCCACTTTCTTTTTACCTTCTTTGTCAATCTCGGTCACATGCCCAACATCCCATTCTTCATGTCTTGCATCTTCATGCCTGGCTTGTATCTGATCCTTGATTAGAAGATATGGTTTTACATATCAAGCTGCTTCCTTGTTAGCTGGTTGCATTTGTCAATCTTCTATGGAGGTGTACCAATGCAAGTGGATGGTATACCATCCTTGGTCTACAACTAGGGGGGTTTCCTGCCGACTAGCCTACTGTGGCTTGTGTGGCAAAATTTCTCACTTGGCTCTTTGACTGTGGATCTTTGGTCTTTTCACTTTCGAGATATTGAGTAGCCTTATCCCATATCCTCGTTTTTCCTGATACCATAGAGCTTTTCCTTCCCCTGTCCTTACCATGCTCATGTGTTCCTTTCAGATATGTTGTCCTCCCAGGCAACCTACCCTTCCAGATTGAGATGTTAATGCTGTCATCCATTCCCTTACTTTACCTCAGTTTGAACCACTTTCCTCATGTTCCACGTTTCATCTTTCCCATAAAACATATTTCCTTTTTCTCTTAGCCCGTGGATGTCAGTGGTCGGATTTGATTGACATTTTACATACCCTTTATCACCCTACCTATCTTCTCCTTTATCCAGATTTTTCCTTTTTCCCGAATACCTTGGCAGCTCAGGAGGGTGGTTCCTCCTTCTTCCATTCCCTCCATTTCCCATCTGTACCCTCAACTGGATCCAGACAAGCTTCTGTGCCTGGTCAGGGCTCTTTATTGTTATATTGCTCATACTGCTTCCTTCTGGGATACACATTCTCAATCTTCCTTCCTTAGTGATCTTTTACCTTCTACCCGTACCAATTCAATCCATCTTTTGGTTTTTCCCTACCTTCTTCCTCCCGAAATTTGTTCCAGGTGTCCTCTCATTAAATCCAACACTTCACTTTTTACCTTGCTTCTCGTCTTTGTCGTCCAATGGAGGTGATTCTGCAATCTGGCATGTGGACCACACCCAGTATGTTCATCTCCCACTATCTCCATTTGGTAGGTTCCTCCTTGTTGGGGTTTTGCCTGCCACCTGTGACCATTGTTCATACTTCAGTGTGGCTCTAACTTGTAAGTTTTTATTCATACTTTCTTTTCAGGGGCTTTTCTCTATTTATTTATCCCATGTATCTTACTCTGTGGCAAGTGGTGCCTTACCAGGTATTCTTTAACTCGAAATCTGCACTGTCCAGTCACATTGACTCGCGCTTTATCTTCCATGGCTTTGAACATTCACCATTGAGATGGGGTGTTCCACAAAATCACTTGTAGGTGAATGACCTCGTAATATTTTGCTTCATAAACATGCCTGTCCCGGACTGTACCACCCATGGACTGCATGGGTAAAGCAGAAGGGGATTGCTGACCATCCTTGCCATGCCTGGGATTAATAACTCGGTATGGTGTGCTTTTCAAAATAAGGTTTTGTGGTCACCCATTGCACTGTCTCAGGTGATGACATTTCTTCGGACTCTCCACTGCATTGTCACCTTTTTTCTTTGAAAGTAGTATGGGAGTCCTTAGCACTTTTCTGTTCCAAGTTGCTGGGGTGTTTGACCATGGAGGCACCCTGCTGAATGAGTTCCACACAATAATCATTCATTTATAAAACAGGGCGGTGGTGTTCTGCAGGTGTAGATGATGTGATATCCTCCTATTTGAGATAACCAGTGACATCGGAGTGAGATATCAGAATGCAGTTCACCCCTTCAATTGCGAACCCTCATCCTACCCTCGTACAGATGTCAGTACCCCATGCACTGGTTTTGGACTTGGAGTGAACCAATTAACATAAGTACTCACACAAGTTTCAAGTTGTCAATCTTCCTTCTTCGATTTCCTCTGTCTGTGTTGTGGGTCACAGCAGTGGTACATTGGATTGTTCTAGATCTGTCCTTGGCTGTCCCTCATCTTCTCTTCTTTTGGGGATGTTATTGCCATTTGGATGGTCCTGGCCTGTTTCACAGTTGAAGGAGTTGATTGCATGTGATAGACATCTTTTTGATACTGGATGTCAAGTTCCCATATTGATAGCTCAGAGTTAATCCTCTTGTCATACCCGGGAATCAGGGTGGTTCTCAATCCTCTGGGTCTTGGGTTTGAAGTGTAGAAGGTATGATCCTCATCCTACCCTTGTGAGAATGTCAGTATCTCGTGGGCAGGTTTTGGATGTAATTGACTTACCGAGTATGATCCACCATGCCCTAGCCACTCTACACCTAGGAGAGGATCCTTTGTTTACCCACCTTTCTCATTGTGGGATCGAGTTACAGTACATTTCTATTTCCTGCCATGTTCTCTCTCACTCGGATGTGCTCCTCTCCTTTTCTACCCTCATATCTTACACTTTCCACAGTTGGGCAAAGAGTATGCCTGGCTCAGAAGTGATGCAGTTCTCCTCTTCTTATCTTTGGATCTGAATCTCTAATTTCTAGGGGTATCCTTCGGACGCTTTCAGGAGGTACGTCTGTCATTCCCTTGCACTGGTCCCTCCTCCTTATCAATGTGGAATTGTAGATAATCTAGTGAGAGGAAGTAAGTATTGCATCGTAAGTTATAATTTTCCTATATTTTTCTGATAGGTATTTACCTTTTTTCATATTTCCCATCCTTCCTCTCAACATTTCTCCCTTGCTGACATCTTCTGCCAAACTTCGAAGTAATAGTTTGGTAGAGGAGTGTAGAAGGAGTCGCATTCATCACGTGAGCATGTCATGCTCCTATTGGTGAGGAGGTGACACATGATGATTTGCATGAGAGACATGTTGGAATCTTGCATTTCAATAGGAGGGAGCAATAGTCTTGTAGCATGCATAAAAAAAGGTTTGCATGTAGAGAGCAGCACTGAATAGGAATAGCTAATCTTGTGAGAGGAGGTAAGTACCTATCGGAAATACATTTTCAGTATAGGAAAATTATAACTTTTGACTTTCTTGTTTCAATATATTTTGTAGCATTAAAACTTTCTATGTTACTTAAGCTAGCTAGGTTACATATGTATCGAGTCCTACTTGTCGTTATAAAATTACAAATTTTTATATGTATTATGTTGAGAATGCAATCTGTTACCTGATTCTTAATAATGACATTGGTAAATGTTAAAAATGTAATTTCTTATGTAATCGTTAATAATGATACTAGTAAATGTTGAAAATGCATTCTCCTACCTGATTGTTAATAATAATCTTGATAAATGTTGAGAATGTAATCTCTAACTTGATTGTTAAAATTTCTTTGGTAACTGTTTAGAACTCAGTTTTTTGCTGGATTGTTATTTGAACAGTGTGGACAATTCGAAGTGTAGTAATACATTATTTAAAAGTAAACAGTTATACTATTTGTTTAATTTGTGTATAAAAACTACAACATAAAAATTAAAAGGCAGCTTTGTGTATGTTAATTTATGTTACTTGGTGGCGAGTAAAGATGTTACTTTATTATAAAGACCTTATCATCACTGGGCTAGGTCTTCATATTTCAACCAAATTTGTAAGAAGGGAAACTGCAATGCTTCTAAAAGGATGTTCTGTAGTCACTGTTAAAATATCGTTATCAAAATTGATGCTACCCATTCTTCATATAGTTATACTATATAGGTAGCTTTGTGTTAAATGATGACACTTCGTGTACTATATACATTATTATAAGTTAATGAAAGAAAATGTCAACACTGTATGAAGAAGAAGTAGAAAACTACTATATTTGATTCAATTACCATTATTTTGATCAGTTTGCCCCTGAAAAGCAACTCTAATGGTATATTTACTGCTTTCCTTTCTTCTTTGTCTATGAATATAATAGCTGTCTGCCTAACTAGTTGGTGTAGAAAATGTGGAACTCAGTGCTTTTACTTGAATAGTAAGTAATTTCATTTGTTTGCCCTAGGCTGGTGATAGTCATCACTTTCACCCAACGTGTGCTCGTTGTACAAAATGTGGAAACCCATTTGGAGATGGAGAAGAAATGTATATGCAAGGTGAGAATCTGCTCATACTACCTTCAAAACTAATTCAAATAGGTTATCTATATAAATAATATGCTTGCATTTGTCTGTTCAGAACTTTTCTCAAAATATCTCGATCAAACACTACAAATCTCGTATCATTAGAAAGGCTTTTGTCCGAGGAGTCCGGATTGCATAATGGCATTTCAATTCAGAGTCACCTTACCTGTTTTTTGCTTAGTCAAACTTTTAAATGGAACGTCTGGCACAATGTTGTTGTCAGCACATGACGATTGGTTTTGATTTCAACTTTAGTTTACTTATTTACAAAGTATTTCACACAAACAACACTTAACCCACATGGAATTTCATAAAAAAGATTAACATTACACTAATTACAATTTCTATGGGCTTTCTTGACATATTTAGGTCTAAAATATGCATGTTCAGTTTATTCAAAACCATGTGTTTATCACTTTGTAAACATGCATTCAGACATTTCTTCATATTCAACTAAGTTTGCCTTCATTACAACCATCACTGTTATAGTGCACCCACAGTTCCAAACTGCAGAGTACATTTTTGCAACAGCAATATGCAAACCATGAAGTCTTAGATTCACAGTTTTAGCATGCCAACCATCAGGCTGCTTGTTTTTTACACACAAAAGCTTTCATAGCTCAAGCAACACCTAGCAGAGGCATTCAAATCGTATTTTCCTGTTTAAATTAGTTGATTATAGTTATCAAATTTGTGGTTTCTCACATTAGTAAATAAGAGGTTTAGAAATTAGAGTTGGGATTAAATGCAGAATTAAACAAGTACCTTTTTCAACTCTGTTATCAAAATTCTGTATAACCGGTAGTACAGCATTGAAATTTCAGGTTGTTTTATTTTTGATTACAGAGGTTTTGACACACTTTATTTGAACAACTTACATGTGCTAATGCAGTGGGCTGTAGTGCTACAGGACCGTAGTTAGCTGCCATATATTTGGATTACATCAAATGCCTGACCATATGAGTGCATAAGTAGACTAATGACTGGAATGGCTTAAAAACCCTTTGCAATCAAATTGTTAAATTTTCCCAGTATTCCCATTGAAATTAATAAAATCACACAGTAGGACAACAATGAGCTCCATAACCAGACCCCAAGCCAATTGAAGGAATGCCTCGTCTGAAAAGTGAAGGCTATGACTATGAAAAAAAGATCTCTCTAACCCTAAAAGCCATTGTGATGTATCTGGACAGATCTGCTTTTACTGTTAACCAAATAATAAAAAAAGGATTTGATGTTGATGAAGGCCCACTAGTTCCAACCATGCTTGATTTTGTTAAGATGGTCAGAAAAAGTGAAATCCCATTTAGCCACATACCCATTTAGCCTGCATTGTAGCTGCAATGGAAATGTGTGCCTTTGTTCTGCTTAAGTGTGGTCTTTGAAACACCAAGGTCCACATACCATTGAAGATGAAAATGTATGGTCTAAAATTGATCTTACTGTTTTTCACAGAAACTTCTTACAACCGAAATTGTGATGTCAGAAACTAGTGCCTAATCAGCCATTTGATAGAACATGATTAATAAGGGCTAAGTAATTCCAAGAGAAGCACAGAACCTGAATATCATTCTTATAAATTGTGATTAACCCTTTCGAGATGGGTCACGGGTGAAAGGCCATGTCATCTTGTTTGTTGACTCGCATTCAAAATTGTATTGAACTAATATTTCATGAACTTATGTCAATAAATTTAGTTTCAATCTGTAGATTATAATTCAAATTTTAGAAC